CTCAACCAAAAACGAAATGGAAGCACTGCTGAGGGCTTTCATTGTCTGGCTCCCGAAATATATTTGTTTCGTATGCGTCTTGTTTCTTCTATTTGGTTCACCATCACTTAAACATTTCCATCAGTTTTATACAAACATAAATTCACTCATATTCAACTATTATTCAAGATTCTGGAATGAACTTGAAAAATCCCAATCAGTACCTTTTACAAGTATTTGGATCTACAACATACAGTGCAAAGGCAGAGCAAGTTGATTCTGCAGTATCTTCCTTGAATTCAAATTCCTGCTTCGTATTCAGACGAGGAAAGAAATATTACGTTTGGTGTGGAAACTACTCAACCGGTGATCAAAGGGAAATGGCCAAAGGTTTTGCTGGAAAAGACTTTGAACTGTTGCTTGAAGGTATTTTTTTGTTTATTATATTCACTGAATTATCTTTATTTTCAACAGATTATGTTTGCATTTTAGGCAAAGAAAAGAGCGATTTCTTTACATTTTTGGGGGGTCCTGGAAGTTACCAATCACAAATGGTGCGTAACGATTTCGACATCAGACCACCTCGATTATTTTTTTGCAATTCATCTAAGAAGTTTAGTGGTAATACAACGACCAAAATCAATATCGTGGTAGCCGACATTTCATTTTCTTAATTTTAGTGACGGAAATTTTATTTTTCCAACAAAAAGACTTATTGCCGGAGAATGTGATGTTATTAGATACCAGCTATGCCCTTTACATATGGATAGGCAAACTAAGTACTAGAGAAGACCAAAGACTAAGCATACAAACAGCCTTGCAATATTTACAAAATGATCCTTCCGACCGGGACATGAATATGACAATTATTCATATCAAGCAAGGGAAAGAAACGCCCACATTTATCGGATTTTTTCCCGCCTGGGATAGGAAGCTGTGGAAGGTGATTAACCAATCCATAAAACTCGTATTCCATAAATGAATTGAAACTTATTTTAAATGCATTTCTATATGTATGTGACTACTTGAACATTTTTTAATGGTTTTTTTAACTTTAAACTCATTTAAACAAATTATGCAAGTTTCAGTTAAAATATGTTAATTACTCGAGTTTGCAAACCTGATTTTGCACACACAAGATTTTTTTTATTATTATCTCATTAAGATTTTAAAAAAGTAAGCTCATTTCAATCAAGGGCTCCAGGGTGGGGGGTCATGGGTGTTATTTCTACTACTCGAAAGCTGGATCAGCTGCTCATCAATGTATGATATTTAAATTTCGCTTTTTGGTGTAGTTATGTATGAATAGAATTTTCAATTCTTTATCCAACGATGCCGAAACGCATTCTGTGGCTCAAATGGTTCTTGAGAACTTTCGAAAAACCAGCATCATGTTTGAGTCGATTTTGCAACTCAAAAAAAAAACACGCAAATCTGAAACTTCTTGAAATAAACACTTTTCTGAAAAAACTTCCAACATTTCCTTATTGATGGATCACTTTGTAAAAAGGCCATTTAGTTCTCTGTGTAATGATGTAAAAATCAGCGTCCTTTCTCATTTTGCTTCCGACAAATGAGCAAAAACGTAACGGAAAACATGAAATTTTGACATAATCTTGCACCTGAATGTCTGATATTCAAATTCGACTTCCTGGGACTAAACTACTTCAATTTCCGCCAGGAAATCAAGAAGATATATTTATTTGTTCTATTTTTTGTTTTTATATTTATTTGTTCTGTTTATTGAATAATCCAATAAACTGACCATTCTAAACAGATTCTAAAAAGAAATTAAAACCATTCTCAAAAGAAAGTATGAAATAAAATTTAGTACTAAAATGTGATTGATGCGCATTCATCAGTAATGCAAGAAATAATGTAAAATAGTTTACTAATCATTTCTCAATTAAACAAATTGTTATTTTGAATTTTCGAAATGAAAATAGAAAATTTTGAATGCAATGAATTAAGCAGCATTCCACGCGAAAACTGAAAAATATTTCAAACTGTTAACGGAACTGGAAATCAAAGCTACAAAGACGTTTCGACAATGTTTAAAAGTATGTCCTACGGAAAATTCAACTATAGAAAAATTTTCCAATTTGTAAAATCAGCAATGGAGTTACAGAATAGCAGGGTTGTTCTTTAAATTGGTTTTAAAGCAGTTAAAACCAACAAAACCAAACAAAAGGTTTTGTAGCTTGATTCTTATGATAATCATGTATTCTGTTCAAATATTTACATCATTCCAATCTTGTTTCACCAACTTGTTATAAAAATCTTAATGCATCTAATGCAATATACCCGATTGCACAGCTACCCAAATTTGAAGCGACGCATGATACGCACATTATTTATTAATTACTTTAACAAAGTCATCAGCTAATGGACTTGAAAGCGATTCAAAATCCTCGTTTAGTTTAATGAAAAAACAATAATGTAGCAATGTAATGTATAGCTTTTAAAATTGTATTGCTATGCGTTCCAGAATAAGAGAAATTGTTACTATATTTAATAACCTTTCTTATAGGTTGAAGCGTAGTAATAGATGATATAGATTGTGGTTTTTTAGTGCGATAGAGTGCATTATTTCCGATGATGTCTTCGACTTTCGAAAAATAGTTTCATATAAAACTTGTTGACGCACAAGGTGCACACATTTTAAAAATATCTTATATGATACAGAGTGTCTCAAAAAAGCGAGGCAAGATCAACGTGTATTTTTTTAAATAGAACTACCCATTTCTTATTAGCTGATGGAATGTAGCTTGAAGCGCTGCATATGCACCGTAAATTGTTTTTTCTTAATTGCCACGTTGGCAGATTATCGCCATTTTAGTAAAATTTTGCTTAAAACTATGGTATCTAAAAATTCATTGTAGAAGAACTTTTGTTTTTCAAATGGAAGTACTTGTATATTAATACATCATTAGATAGACAATGTACAAAGTTACAAATTTGCATTTACACTTTAAGCTGTGAAATCAACCGTTTTCAAATTATAAATTGTTTTATTTAAAAATTTCAAAAAGTTGTTACATTTTGTAAGGTGGCTATGGAATTCATTACACTCTGTACCATACAGGATATTCTTAAAATGTGCGCACTTTGTGCGTCAACAACTTTTATATGAAACTATTTTTCGAAAGTTCAACACCGTCGGAAATAATGGACTCTATCGCACTAAAAAAACACCGTGGCCATTAATGCCATTAATAATCACAGTTCGTTTATTGTATGTGGAAACAGTTGAGTTTTTCTGGAATGTTTGGCTACCAGAAGTATCAGATCTGTGGAGAATATTTGCCTTTGTCTATGGCCTAATGAGTAGAATGATGATAAGAGAAAATTTCATTTGATTGAACAAACTTCAACTTTCTTACACTAAGCTGAGTAATGAATCACTCAATTTATGCATTTTATAACGAATTGAAAGAAGTACATTTTGTCATTTTTCGGAGAACTTCCACCATTATCAAGATGCGTTACCGGACGCAGCCACAGCACTGGTAGAGGACAAAATTCTTTACTGCCAATAAACCTAAAAACGAAATAAGCACCTTCTTTCCTCAATTCTTCGTATATCCCATATGTTTTAAAGCATTAAAATAGATCGAACAATATATAAGAAGACATAAAAACAGCATTGATATAATCCGTTTCTATAATATATATATTATCATGCAATATGACCAATAATTAATAAAATAAATAATTAAATGATTCAATTGCAGTACTACAGAACGTTTTCCAAGATTCGGCAAGAAATCGAATTAAAAAATACGGACCAAAAGCCACAGAACGGGCACCAAAGCCGCAACAATACATCCGACAATGGTGATTTTGATCACTATGAAAAGTATCCAATCAATATTTTAAAGGAACCAAATGATCGATTACCGGCTAGTATTGACTCCCTTAACAAAGAGGTAACATTAATTTAAATCCTACAAACGTTAATATTTCAAATATTTTCCAATTGTTTTGATACTAAAGATCACTAGATAATAAAATACAATTTAATTTCACAATGAAATGTTATAAAACATTTTATTTTAGTTGCATCTAACACATGACGACTTTGTTTCGCTTTTTAACATGACATACGTTGAATTCGAAAAATTACCAAGATGGAAAAAACAGGAAATGAAGAAAAAAGTGGGTTTGTTCTAAAAATATTCTGACAAATCTCTTTTTAATGTATGTTTAAATAAATGTTGTATTATTTCGTGTAGCAAGAAAATAGCAACATACTGTTGCTATTTTCACTCAATTATTTCCAAAAATAAATTATTTTTGCAAATAAGTGTTTAAGTTTTATTTATTTTACATAGAAACTTTTTTGCTCAATGGGGAGCATGCCAAACTTTCAGAAATTTTGCATTGTTTCATTTTCCGCCCTGTAGGAACTTTATCTGAAGTACTGAATCTTTGCCCACGGATTGAGAGGAAAATTAGTATGTCTTCAAAAAAAAATATGTGCTTAAGACCACACGATAGAAGTGAAAACTTCAACAAGCAGGGCAAGGCTGTAATAATTAATAGTATGAAATAAATATATTTTTTTCTAAATATTTTCACCAAGTAAAATAACATTTACAATATCGTGGGCTTCAAGCTAAAAGTGCCCAAGTCCAAAATTGCCGTGTTTGTGTTTGGTTGGTTTAAAAAATTACTTATTTTTTTTAGGTTAAAATTAAAAGACCAAATTTTAAAGCATAAAATACAAAAATATTTTCGGTAATTCTTATATAATTTTCGGGTCGGTTTAAAACTGCATTTAGCAAAAAAATAATTTTAGACATGGTCAGCTTTAAGCCCACGATATAATGCAGTTATAATTGAATATAAATTACTATGACAAGAAGGATATAATAAATTACTATGGTACACTTTGCTCTAACTCATCGTAATTCGTATCATATTCTAAAATTGAAACAATGGGTTTGTGATAACTGAGATATGCTATGAACACTTTTGATTGAAATCAATTTTTATAGATACCTAACAAAAACTCCGTCAATTGTTGTACCATATTTTCCTGGCGGTACTGCAATACCAGGCCAACCCGCGACAAAGGTGGAGCAATCCCCTAACTTTCGTCAATTTCCAAAAATTAGATTAATATACTAGCCCCGCATGCGGGGCGTTTCAGATATAAAGCCGATAGGAACAGATTAAATTTTTATTCAGCGAATATTTACAATTATGTATGTGACTGAGCAGAGATAAATAGGAGTGTTCCGTGATGGGACAGCTCCTGTGAACTTATTTGTTACATTGAATAATTTGATGGCGAGGTCAGCTACCCAGGCGGTTCACCTTCATATTGCTTCCAGCTGTGATCTGCTCTATGTAGATGTCGCGGCTTCATCGTATGGCATCGGACCACATCAGGCGTCGCATAGCGTGGCAGTAGTGGCGGCCTATTCCCAAGTGGGCGAAGACGCGCTCATTGGTCCCAGCCTCCAAGTGTCCCGACAATGAAGGCGTTTGTAAACACGCTGTATCCCGGTTGTTGAAAGTGGTTAGTGGCGATGTCGATTATGGTTGCCAACTTGGTCTTCTCATTGATGATGACCAGGTCAGGCCGGACGTTGTCACCCAGGTCTGGGATGGTTGTGCAACACGGATTGTTGTATCTGGTGGCGGCCTAAATGCCTTTATAATCCGGTTTAGAATGGCGTTGTGGCGATGCCTGATGGCAGTGAGGTGTGGGTTGGAGTGGTTAACTACGTGTGGCAGGGTTTCCTTGGCGTGGCAACAGCGGCGACACTTCTGATCGGTTGTCCCAAATCGGCGGGCTCCGTTGAGTGGGGTGCAGTTAAGGCGGGCAATGGGGGAAATAAGGCAAGGTTATAAATCTCCATTCGTCAAAACGGGTGAAGTCGCCGGTCCTCATAAAATTGTTTGGAGGAGTGGTGGTAGTGGTGACTTCGAACACCTTGCCTTGATCGGTTTTGCTGGTATGCCGGCTTCCGCTTCCTTTGTGGGCAGGGTGGCACCGTCAAGTTGGAGCTGGAGCTGGTTGGATGCGTCCATCGCCCAGCCAATACTGATCTTGCTCCTCAGGCGGTGGGTGGCAGACCGCAGGCGGGTCCAGGTGTTGGTGATGCTGGTAGATTCGTTGGCAAATTTGTCCACCATGCTGCCATTAAGGTAGGCTGCCACGTCGCATGGCTGCAGGTCCCTTCGCAGTCTTCTCCTTACCACGGCTTTGAGCGTTGAGTTGGCCAGAGGCTGGAGAGTCGGAGATCGTAAGATGAGGAGGAGAAGATGACAAGATCAAAAGCTTTTTGACGCTGCGAGAAGATGGGAAATCAAAGCACCAGAGAGAAGGAAGTCATATTATATATGCGAACTGCAAGTATTGATCCGACGGCAAAACTGGCCCAGGCGTTATCA